AAAAAAAAAAAAAAACAATAAGTATTCGTTGTGGAAATATATAAGGCGAGTAAAATCAACAAGTACCGGGCGTTTTTGTGCTTTAAGTTAGAATTTAAACAAAACTAGAACATTAAAATTTAAATCTTAAAAAAATCAATATTAAAATAAATATCAAAAATATGAACCGAAATAATAATTTTAAAACCATAGACGAGAAAAAACGAGAGTTTGACAAATTCAGAGCCGAATGAGAAAAAATGAAAGAGCAAGAAAAAAAGTTGAAAGAAAAATTTTGCAGCAGCCCGTTTGCGGAAAGGGCCAAGATTAAAAGGGAGTTAACGACTCTCCAAGAAAAAATGTTCGATAAAAAATGAAGTTGTGGGAAAAGCATGAGTATTGACATTGAAAATGAAGAAATGATTCAACGATTAGAAAATTCGACTGGTCCAGCCACCGATCCCCACCATTTAGCCGAACTGATTAAAAAAGAGTTAAGAGAAGTTTTGGACGGAAGCCGAAAATTTAAAGCCGGAGACGAAGTTGGGGATATTTGAGAAGCCAATCAGAGCAGAGAAATCTGTTATTTTGGTCAAAAAAAAGAAATCAACGAGTTAATTGCTAATTTGGCTCATAATCGCCGAAAGCCTCTGGACCGTGATAAAATTACCACTCGAATGGTTAGAGTCAAACAAAAGGATTTTTCCTCGACCGATTTTGAGGAAATGATTAGTTTAGTTCGTCAAATGAAGAACTTTTTAGAGGAAAAAAATAAGCAAGACCGCCAGAGAACTGAAAATATAAAATTGAATAATCCTCATTTATTTACCCAGTGAAAGTGTTCTACCGATGGCAAATATAACGGTCGTGGGAAGTGAGAAAATTGACATACTTTTAGCGGAAAACGCAACGGACATAATTATACAATTTACGTTCCGGATAATCATATAGCCTTGACTAATTGTCTCTTTGATAACGGCTGAGGCACCAATTCGGAAGTAGGTAAATTTTTTGTGGTCAAGGGAGCAGCAGAGCCAACTACTCTCCGTTATTGAAATGTGGAAAAACAGAAACAGGAAATTATTTCTGAGGCAGAAGCCCAACGTTTAGAACAACAAGGGAAAGGCAATTTCATTAAATATGAAACTTATGTTGAGTTAAATGATAAGATTTTCATCGACCATTATCAAGAGAACGGGCAGCAGGAATTAGTGAATCCGGTCAGTGGTGTTAATGGATTAATTGAGAATACTAATGATAAAAATATGAGTGTTGGGCTTATTTCAGAAGGAGAAAAAGAAAATTCAGAATTAGATAAAGAGGGGCTGTTAAAAATCTTTCAAAAATATAGTATTAGCCAAATGTCCTTAACCATCACGGGTGATTTATTAATTGAATATAATAGTGGTAAATCGAAAGTTTGAACCAAAGAACGCCTTAATCAATCTGAATTTAAAAAAGTTATCGGTTATTGCCAAACCAGCGGTCAAACGAGTTTAAGTCAACAAGAATTAAATAATCTCCTTAATACTGCTACGCCCCGCAATAGCAATAATACACTCTTAATGGCGAGTGGCGGGGCTTTAGTTATTGGAATAATAGTCGGATTATTTTGACGAAAAAGAAAGATTAGTAAAAATTAATATATGAATATAAATGTTTACTGACTATTTGTTATTGTTCCCGTTAGTATAATTATTGGTGTTTTTCTTTGCCTTTGATACATGCTTCGTGCTCTCAAAAAAGCCACCGGAGTGAAAAGTTGAAGGGAATTTATTAATCAAGCCAAAAAAGCCCAAGAACTCCAAAGGAAAATGGAAAAGGAGGGTATTTTTGGGGTAATGAATGACCCTAAACTAAGAAAACAAATGGAAGAATTACAGAAAAGATTTGGAGGAAAAGTTAAATAAATTTTGGCAAGAACCAAAATTTTTTTCCTCATTTCAGTTTTTTTAGAATAGTATATTATGAGAGTTCAATCTCTTAATTAATTTGCAAAATTCCCTCAAAATGTCAAAAATCAGCAATCTTTCCTCTCACGTTTATAATTGTTGTTCTCAGATACCAAAAGGCCAGGTTTCAACTTATAAATATATTGCGGATTTTCTTCGGATTTCCCCTCGTGAAGTGGGTCGGATTCTGAAAAATAATCCTTTTTCTCCTGACGAAGTTCCTTGCCA